ACTGTCATAGTGTTTGGGAACATTCATGCATAATTTAAATACATAATCACATGAAATCAGATCAAAAAATAAAATATTTTAGAAGAGAACAGCAGCATCGCAGGTGTCTGAACCAATGAGAATTAAGCTGTGACGTCAGTCAGTCGTTTCCCATCATGCTTTTTTTACAAAGCTTCTCTTGCGCATGCAAATTTAATTTACGCTTACAGTCTTATGTACACTTCCACAACTCTTACCCTGCGTATGCAAATCTTTTTGACGTCATTCTACCTTCATACTATTGCCTCATAAGGCAGCGAGGCAGCTGCCTGGGCTTTCGGACGCAGCCAATATATATAGATCAGTGGATTAGGCTGGTTTTGTTTCGAAAACCTGGCAACCCTGACTAGCGCTGTCAGATCAGAGCTCAGTAAAGATGGCAGCGCTAGCAGTGGTGGAAACCCCATCAGGGAAAGATGCTCTCGCCGAGGGCTTGCTGGATCTCATGAGTCCCGCTGTACAGCAGCTTGACTTACATGTGCACTCAGTCAGGTAGTGTATTTTGGCAAACATACGTGTTTTTTTTTAGACCCGATAAATGTTTAATTCAAAACGATTAGTTCTGTGTGCTAACATGCTAATGGCTGTCATCATGACAGGTCTCGTGACTGAGTCAGGGATGCTGTACCATGCAAAACAATTGCAGTTCATTTATTTGTTTCTTACATTTTCGCAGTATCGCACGATGTTTGCGTTTGAGATATGGTGCATAGTCATGGATTTCAAAGCGTGCATAAATATGTACAGCTATATCGTTTATATACTGTAAATTTGTCTTCACAGAGAAAGCCAAGTGGAACTTAGGGAACACATTGATAAATTGGCATCTGGTAAGTTGGTCTGAGGTGATTATGCCTTTACAGTTTTTCTCAATCCCTTTGGCTTAATTCTTGAATGAGATTTATTTTTCTCAAAACGGTAAGTTAAAGGGGTCATATGATGCTGCTAAAAAGAACATTATTTTGTGTATTTGGTGTAATGAAATGTGTTTATGCGGTTTAAGGTTAAAAAAACACATTATTTTCCACATACTGTACATTATTGTTTCTCCTCTATGCCCCGTCGATTTTTACAAAGCTCATCGGTCTGAAAAGCGAGGTGTGCTCTGATTGGCCAGCTATCCAGTCAAAGCAATTGAATAGGGTCACCACATGTCCTCTTTTTTTTTTTACCAGACATGTCCTGGCTGTGCTTTCTAAATTTCCAATTGTTTTCATACATGCAAAAGGTAATGAATGAAAAGTAGTTTGTCTAATAGCGTGCAGGCATTGTACATAATCGACCAATCACTGCATGCGAGAAGGTGGGATCTACAGAGAACTGCCGAAGCAATACAAATACACATACACATACATACAATGTATATGTAGAGAGCACATCAATAGGAAAACAAAGACAAAACCCAGACATTAAAGGTAATCTAGAAAGCACCGCCAGGACATGTCAGGGAAAAATAGAACATATTGTCATCCTAGAAAGTGACATTTTATGACTATAACTTCTTCTTTTGGCATAGAATATAACAATATAATAGGTGACTGTGTGTCTATTTGCAGTATTAATAAGTATTTAGTAATCCATCCACATTACAAAAATATATAATGCAACTCTCCTGCCCCTTTCTGCAGAATTCATGAATATTATGTCATCTCATGTGAGCATTTCTTCTGCAGAGCTGTGTAGGATCAACGAACACCAGAAGGTGGCACTAGATTTAGACCCATATGTGAAAAAACTCCTTAATGCCAGGCGAAGAGTGGTGCTTGTCAACAACATACTCCAGAATGCACAGGTAAGAGTATATGAATATAAAACATCAGTTTGCTTGCTGTCTTCCTCTTCATCTTCTCCAATCTTTATGTTGCAGGAGCGTTTGCGAAGGCTGAACCATAATGTTGCTAAAGAGACGGCACGCAGGAAGACCATGCTTGAGGCATCTGGAGCATTTACTCCACGCTCTCCCAGCAAACCATGATGTCCGAAATCTCACATTTTGGGAATGCACCATTACACTGTGCTCAATGCCAAGGACCAACGCTGTAGATTTGCAGAATCTTTCTCTTATCATTAAAGGGCGATGGGCTATGCAAAGCACTGCTAACAGAACACTGCAGCATTAATGTCAGTTCACTTAAGAGGAGTCAGGGAGACAGCATGCACTCATTTCTTTCTTGAACATATGACTTTTTAATAAAATATTTGTCTTTATGAATTTAACTGTTGCTGAAAAATGCAGTGCTATGGATTTGCTAATTATTTGCAAATGTAGGATTATTGTTATTTATCAGAACTGTCCGAGAAAATATCTAGTCTAATTTACCTGCAGATATTCTACTGTCAGTCTTACCGTATTTTTTTTCTTGGGTTTAGACTCTGTACACATTTTTATCTAATTATTTTCTGCTGAAAATGTGCTTAATGTATTCAAAGGAATCATTCACCCAAAAATGAATATGTACTTACCCTCTGGCCGTCCAAGATGTAGATGAGTTTGTTTGTTTGTTTGTGGAAAAATGTCACTTTCCATCACTTGCTTGTTGGCTTTATATTAGTGCTTCATTAAAGCTGTCAGTGGGGATTAAAAAGAATAACTGCGTCCCAAATGACGCACTATACACTATGCACTTATACACTATCAGTGCGTCCCAAATCGCGTACTTGCACTATTCGGTGACGTTTTGTAGTATAGTGCGAGTAGTGAGTTCACACTGAAAATCCAAAAAGAAAAAGTAGGCCTACACTTTAAATACCAAGATGATGCACTTAAATAACCAAACAATGAAGTGTGGAATATTGGACACTTGATGCACTCAACTGTCGCAGCTTTAGCGAAGGGGAAGGGGCTATAGGACTCCGATTATGAATGACAAAATAACTTTATTAAATTCATACACTACATGTTTGAGTACATAGTGCATAAATACATAGTGTATAAGTGCATAGTGGGTCATTTGGGACACAGTTTATATACTTATGCACTATGTACTCAACCATGTTGTTTCATTTTTTCGGTTACTTTGCAATTTTGAACCGGAAGAACGAAATTGCTCCAAAAAATGAAAAAAATTACCACTTTTCCCTTAATAATAGACATAATGAGTGATATTATTGTTTTCACTGATGTGCAACCTGTACATATATGTTAACATCTCAAAAAGTGCTTTAGGGTCTCATGACCCTTTAAAGTGCATCATCCGGGTATTTAAAGTGCACTTTTTCTTATTGGAATTTTCAATGTGAACACACTACTCGCACTATTTATACTACAAAACGTCATAGAATAGTGCATAAGTACGCGATTTGGAACGCACCTTTCTAGTACAGAATAATAATAATAATAACAACAACAAAATAAGTAAAAACATATAAATTACAAAAATAATAAAAAATAAATGTAAAAAAAAAAACACTAAAGACAAAAAAATACAAGGATGAATAACTATATACACAGGGGTATTAAAGTCAAATCCATATTTATAAAACGAATAGTTCCGGTCCTTGATTCTTTGTTGGAACCACAACTGTTTCTGAGGAACTACATTGTTTGGTGGAAGAATACTGTTTTTATTAATATCATTACACTTTATTTGCTCTGTTTTATTCTGTGAAACCTAACTACGTATATGGAATAACCGTTTTATAAAAGCAATAAGCCCCGCTTCGCGTCGTGCCTAACAACGTCCCTTAGCTGTTATAAATTCACTGTAAACCACGGCTTCTTGGGGCTTATTGCTTTATCTGCAAAATTAATAAAAAAATTCTTAAAATGGATAGAATTTCAAGGCCTTGCAACAGTTTATAGTCTTTTTTGCTTTGCTGTTCCTTACACCCTCAAATGATTTAAGATATTGACAAAGCTCAAATTTAAATTGTATCAAACTAGGTGTATTTTTTGCCCATCGACATTTATGAATGTGATATTTCCCTAAGATAATAAACAAATCAAGAACAAAACAAATTTTATTTTCTAAAGGCTTATCATAAAAAATACAATATTTTTGTCCTCCAAAGTAATGTCAGTTCCAGAGATCTCCTTAAAAAAGACCTCAAATACACTAAAAAAAAAAAAAGGTGACAAATATTCTCATCATTCAAATTACAAAACTGACATTTCAAATCAATATCTTTCTTAAATCTTTTTATAACCTGATTTACTGGGTAAATACGATGGATAATTTTAAATGAAACCTCATGAATCTTATTGACACAATATCTCCTGGAAACCAAAAAAGCCTTCTTCCACTTAATGTCCCGGAAGCGTGAATTCCAGAAACTTTTAGCTGGGGGTATCCTGAATGATTAATATGCAGTGTTGGGGAAAGTTACTTTTAAAAGTAATGCATTACAATATTGCGTTACTCCATAAAAAAGTAACGAATTACGTTACTTAGTTACTTTTTGTGGAAAGTAATGCGTTACGTTACTTTTGCGTTACTTTTAAAATCTGGACAGGGCTTGCTTGTTTGTTTTTAAAATAAAAAAGTTCTATTTTTGGCAAATATAAAAGCCTTTTCAC